TTGGCACTGTCGCTTAGGCCACATAAATGAGAAACGCATTTCCAAACTCCATAAAGATAGACTCTTGGACTCTTTTGATTATGAATCATATGAGACACGCAGATCTTGTGTAATTGGAAAGATGACAAAGTCCCCATTCACAGGAAAATGTGAAAGGGCTAATGATCTTTTGGCCCTCATACATACTGATGTATGTGGACCACTGAACATACCAGCCAGAGGAGGTTTTCAATACTTCATCACATTTACTGATGATTTCAGTAGATATGGTTATGTGTATTTAATGAAACACAAATCTGAAACCTTTGAAAAATTCAAGGAATTCAAGAATGAAGTACAAAACCAACTAGGTAAGAATATTAAAGTTCTTCGATCAGATCGAGGCGGTGAATATTTAAGCCTAGAGTTTGATGACCATCTAAAGGAATGTGGGATTTTATCCCAACTTACTCCTCCCGGAACACCACAATGGAATGGTGTATCTGAGAGAAGAAATCGAACCTTGTTAGACATGGTCTGATCCATGATGAGTCACGCCTATCTTCTGAACTCCTTTTGGGGACATGCACTATTGACTACAGCTTACACACTTAACCGGGTTCCATCCAAAAAGGTTGAGAAGACACCATATGAGATATGGAGTGGTAAGAAACCACATATGTCTTACATGAAGATTTGGGGTTGCGAAGTTTATGTGAAATGACAAATTTCAACTAAGCTTGAGCCCAAATCTGACAAATGCTTATTTGTGGGGTATCCTAAAGAAACAAGAGGGTATTACTTCTACAATCCTTCTGAGGGCAAAGTGTTTGTCGCTCGAACTGGAGTTTTTTTGGAAAATGATTTTATTTCCAAAAGAATCAGTGGGAGGAAAATAGAGCTTGAAGAAATTCAAGAACCACAAAGCATTCATACACCTATGGAGGATTTAGAGCAGGAAACACAAGTAGTTGTGGAAGAGCAACCTGCTCAAGTAGAACAAGACCAGCGTAGGTCAAGAAGGATACGTCAACAACCTGAGAGATATGGATATCTCATAAGTGATCAGGGTGATGTATTACTCATGGATCAAGATGAGCCTGTGACCTACCAAGAGGCCATAACTGGTCCTGAGTCCGAGAAGTGGCTAGAAGCCATGAAATCTGAAATGGATTCCATGTACACAAACCAGGTTTGGACCTTGGTAGAGCCTCCTATAGGAGTTAACCCTATAGGATGCAAGTGGGTCTTCAAAAAGAAGACTGACATGGATGGTAAGGTACATACCTATAAGGCAAGACTGGTTGCAAAAGGCTATAAAAAAATTCATGGGGTTGACTATGATGAAACCTTTTCACCAGTTGCAATGCTTAAATCTGTTCGGATTTTACTTGCTATCGCTGCATATCATGATTATGAAATATGGCAGATGGATGTCAAAACTGATTTCCTTAATGGGAATCTTCTTGAGGATGTGTACATGACAGAACCTGGAGGATTTGACATATCAGAAGAAGCCCAAAAGATATGTAAGTTACAACGATCAATTTATGGATTGAAGCAAGCTTCCAGAAGATGGAATCTTCGTTTTGATGATACAGTAAAATAATATGGATTCATCAAGAATGAAGATGAGCCTTATGTCTACAAGAAGGTTAGTGGGAGCATGATCGTATTCCTGGTATTATATGTAGATGACATATTACTCATTGGAAACGATGTCCCTACCTTGCAACAAGTGAAGACTTGGTTAGGGAAATGTTTTTCAATGAAGGACCTAGGTGAAGCAGCCTATATATTAGGAATCAGGATCTATAGAGATAGGTCACAAAAACTGCTTGGCCTAAGTCAGAGTACATACATAGAAAAGGTGTTGAGACGCTTTAATATGCATGATTCCAAGAAAGGATTCATACCTATGCAACATGGCATGTGTCTGTCAAAAACACAATCCCCTTCAAGTAAGGAAGAAAGGGATCGCATGGATAAGATTCCATATGCATCTGCAATAGGATCTATCATGTATGCCATGTTATGTACTCGACCAGATGTCTCGTATTCTTTAAGTGCAACGAGTAGGTACCAGTCTAATCCCGGTGATGCTCATTGGGTAGCTGTCAAGAATATCCTTAAGTACTTGAGAAGGACTAAGGACTCATTCTTGATATATGGAGGTCAGGAAGAGCTTGCTGTAATTGGACACACCGATGCTAGCTTCCAGACAGATAAGGATGACTTTAGATCGCAATCTGGTTATGTGTTTTGTTTAAATGGTGGCACTGTGAGCTGGAAAAGTTTAAAGCAAGATACAGTTGCTGATTCTACAACCAAGGCTGAGTATATTGCTGCCTCAACTGCAGCAAAGGAAGCTGTTTGGATCAAGAAGTTCATTAGTGAACTTGGCATAGTCCATAACATTGTGGATCCCATTGATCTCTATTGTGATAACAATGGTGCTATCGCACAAGCTAAGGAGCCTAGATCTCACCAACGATCCAAACACATACTTAGGCGTTATCATCTCATTCGAGAGATAATCGATCGAGGAGATGTGAAAATATGCAGAGTACCTACACTTGACAATGTTGCTGATCCATTAACAAAGCCTCTTGCGCAGCTGAAGCATGATGGACATACTAGATCTATGGGTATTAGGGGTATGCCTGATTGGCTCTAGTGCTAGTGGGAGATTGTTGGTGTAAGCCCTATAGGCCAATACTTTTGGTACTTGTATCGAATTATTTATTAATAATAAAAGGCATTTCTTTATTATGTTTTCTTTCCAAAATAATAAAGTCCCTAGAATGGTTTATTGGTTTAATGAAATGTTAAGTGTGACTTAATCATGAGATCCCATTAAACATAAGAAACTATTCTTAAAGTATCCATAGTCAAGCTTTAATGTGAAGTGGGATAACATTAAAGCATTAAGATTATTATGAAGATAGATTGATGATCACATCTCATGGATCATAGATAAGGAGTTATCAAGTCTTGACATAGGTATGAATATTAGGAGTAATATTTATACTGGATTGACCCGCTATGAGAATACTACATAGAATATTATGCAAAGTGTCATAAGTTATTCTCATGATGATAATGGTGTATACCACCCTTCGACCTGAAACCACTATGGACCCTAGATGTAGAGTCAAGTACTTTATTGCTGATCAAACGTCATCCGTAACTGGATGACTATAAAGACGGTTGATGGGTACTTCACAAAGCATGCTAAGGGACATGAGTGACCTAGATGAAATTTGCTCATCCTGCATAACAGGATAAATGTCTAAGGGCCCAAATATTGAACTGGACAAGGGTGACACAGTGTATGCCTTGTGTTCAATATAGACATGAGGGCAAAAGGGTAATTGTACAACACAAATATTATCACGGAAAAGGTTTGGTCATATCACATGACATTTTCGTGACTTGGGTAACAGTGATGTGTTGCTAGATACCGCTCACTGTTTATTATATTAAATGTGTGATTTAATATAATTGCCAACGTCGCGAAAACCTACAGGGTCACACACATAAGGACAGGTTGATGAGAGATAGAATAAATAAGGAACACCGTAAGGTACGGTGCACTTAAGTGTAATACGGAAAGTGGTAAGGTACCACGTGGATAAGTGATATATGGTACATCATAAGGTATGATGTCCATAAGCTTAATTAGGCTTTTAGCTTATAGTCTTAATTGGGTTTTTAGCTTGTAGCCCACACGAGTGATTCTATAAATAGATCCCTTGTGATGAAGCAATTTCACTTGATGCAATTTCGTTTTTGATTCTCTCTCTCACTCAAGGTTTCAGTTCGTGATCAGCTAGCACTGTGACCGGAAGCGATCTGTTCGTGTGGACTGAGTAGAGGCGTTGTTCTTCATCAACGCTCGTGATCACAACATCAAAGGTCTGAATCGCCACAAGAGGTAAATATTTCTATCACTGGCCATGTTCATTCGTAAGGATCGCTAAAGGAAAATTTTAAATTCCGCTGCGCTTTTCTGATCGCAATTTTCCTTCACAAACAAAAGAGAATGAACACACGAGTTAAAGAAGTTCAAACACCAAATAATGTGAATGATATTTTCATAGATGGTGCTCAACCATTAAGAATCTTGGAAGACGTGTTAGAACTTTCGTGGCTAATAAATATCTAAAAAATAAGAATTGAAATAAAAAATCGAATTCAATCCTTAAATAGAGATATGGAGGTGTTTACAATTTTCAGGAAAAAATTAGAAAGGAAGAAATCATTGAAAAACTTAACGAGTTTATCCATCTATTGAAAGATTGAGGAATGAGTGCAAGAAATCTACAAGAATCATTATGAACTTTGTCAAAAATTTCTTTTGAAGAAGAAGAAAAGTCAACTCCAATAGTTTCTTTCGAAAGAACAATCTTCATAGACGAACAATCCTCAAAAGATTTGTCATCTAATAATGGAAAAACTTCATCAAGAACATTTGTTCAATCAATGAAGAAGATGAAAAAGCTTAATCAAGTGAAATTTTTGAAAGAAGAAACGAGGAAGAAGTCTCAACAAGCACTATCTTTAGAGATTCAATATCGGAAAAAAAATCTTGAAGAATTAACCTTTGGTAAAATCTTCGAAGATCCTTCATTCAATGAAAAAGATGAACATGTTGGTTTAACAAGTTTGCATAAATTAAATCGAAAGTAGTATTTAGTTTATACGATGAATAAGACATTAATTTGTTAATATTATTTATTTTTATTTATTTTTTCACGGAATCTTAAGATATATAAAGAAAAATAAAGTGAAATATGGTGAAGTTGGGTTGGATTTTTCTCACATTTTGATCCATCAAATAAAACTATCTTTTGTTTATATTTAAATGCGGAGTAATATTTTGTATAGTCATTGAATTCAGAAACATAGAGATCATGTTGTTAATAGAAGAGGTAATACAATATTTTCTTATGTTAAATGAAGCCAGGGAAAATTTGTACATGGCCCAATCGAACTTCCTATTTGTTCTAACATCACCCTCACAAAATATGCTTCTTCATACTGGACGTCCAACCGAAAGATTTCTTTCTTCTGCGCCGTGGTGCAAAGTTGAGGCCAAACATCTCCTTGAATGCCTGATCTGGCTCAACTGTACCAACCAGCTTTGCAACAATGTTGGCACTCTCTCTAACATGGTCTATGTCTGGTTCTGACCACAGGCGATGAGCCAATTGCAACCTCCTATTATTTGAACTCATACTAATACCCCACTTTGAATACATGTTCTCTCTTTCAGATTTTGACAACTTCCTCTCCATTTGTCTGCTCAACATTTGTCTCTCTCGTCGAAGGTATCTCTTGCTGTTTGCAAAGGAACACACACATGGCATTATAAGTTTGGGAGTATTATACAATGTGAACTTAAGTTAAAATTAAAAATTCCAAAGCAACTTTTAATTACCTTGATTCTGGGGTAAGGGTTCGTCCATCTTCCAAAATTTGATTCTCTTTGAGATAGGACAGCCTTCTGAGCTCTACCTCCATATAGATAGAATCTGAAGGGTCCCCTTTGAATAGAAGGAAAAAGTAAGTTCTGTGTACCAATGAAACATTGCAAGAATGCCAGCGTTCGATGATCTCTTTCTGCAGCCGCTTAAATTCAGAAGACCATTCCAAATGTTTTTCTTCATCAGATTGCAATGTGTTCGACCCAACATCTTTGAACTTTTTGGCAGGAACAGTGGACTCAACTCCAGTCCCCGGAACCTGACATGCAAAACAACTTAAAGAATCATTTGGCTGAAAGTTTACAATATTATAACATTGGTTTTGGTAACAACATATATAAGATCAATAAGAAAGACAGAACAAATAAAGGAAGGTGAATAATTGAAGGCTGAAGCATACCTTATGGTAAGGCGGTGGTTTTGATCTTCCACGTTCTTTCTTTTCCCTTCTTACCGGAGATAAATCACCATCATCAATTTCCATATCAAATGATGGTTTCTGGTTCTGCATGTCAACTGTAGAACATCTCACACAATGCCCAAAACCAGACCAGGATAACCTCTCAGCATTGGGATTATAGTTTATTGTATAGGTCCTCCTATCATATCCCTCTGGTCTTCTAATCTGGTCTTTATAGGTTCCTATTGGAGGGGTTTTCTGAATTATTTCTTCCAGGTCAAACCAATCGGATGATGAATCCTTCATGAGACTTGCTTCACAGCTTCTGCTTCTGGTCAATTTCAAGATTCTAGAACTAGATACACTTGTTCCTACCATCCATGGACTTATTTTCTCGTATGACGGTAGAAAAGAACGTTGGTGAAAGCGATTCAATTCTTTTCTTTCCTTTAACCCAAATGAACACGAGTCTTGATTTTCTTTGTCGATATTAACAACTTCTGTCAATCCTGAGACAGCTGTAGTTTCCCCCGGAGATGAGCACATGTCTTGATTTTCTTTGTCTATGTTGTCAACTTCCGTCAATCCTGAGACAACCATATTTTCCCCCAGAGATGATGCATTCGAGTCTGTGTCTCTATTTGGACTCAAACTTGCTGGATTTGAAAGTGTATCCGTGTTTGTAATTGGATCTTCTGACACAATGCACCTAACTTTCATACAACTGTCTTCTAATTCATCATTGGGCTGTTCTTGAACTATCTTCTGATCCAAATCATTTGTTTCATCATCATGACTTACAACTGACATCGCTTGAGAAGAAATCCTGATGGGAAGATTCTTTTCCAAATCAGGGAGCTGGAAATAGTTCTCTTCGGAGCTTACACTATGTCCATCTGAATATTGAGAAGCATCAAAAGATCTAACAGTCTCCAAGGTGTCAAAACCTAATATATTTGGTTCCTCTATTTGATTATCAAAGTCCATTGAGCATCGCACACGTAGTTTGGGATACAGAGGACCCAAGCTTTCCTGAAAATTGGTTTGAACGAACATAAATGAAACTGAAAAGGAAGGTTAACTTTAATGCTTTAGAGTACACAAATACACTAACCATATCAGTTGAGGACATATCGTCTCCAACCACTTTAAGCATGTCAGTAATTTGAGAGTGGGCAAGGTCTCGCTGCATAGCCAGATCCATTATCTCTTTCTTTAACTGCGAGCACAGATAGTAGTCCATATTTACAGGTTAAAAAAACAGTTCTAAAAGTTAGTAAATTAGTCTCATTCCTTGTGAAACAAAACGCATGTGCTCGTTTCACAAAATGTAATGAATCTGTTACAGAAATATTGATATTACCATCTCAATTTGGAGATCTTTTTCCTTCAGCAACTCTGCAGAATCAGGTTTACGGCGGGTTGAGCTTGAATTTCTCAACTCGCCTTCCAGCCTAGACAACTCTCTTTGCAATTGCTTGACCAACAATTTATCAGACATCACTACATTGACTTTTGCATTAGTTGACACTTCTTTAGCACAACATGCAAATAAGAGGGTGTTTCTGGTTTGCTCAACATAGCTTCGTGCAGGACTCATGGTACATATGATTGCTGTTCTAGCATTGCCTCCTATTGAGGACTGCAGTATGCGGGTTAGTTTTGAATCTCTGAAAGGGATGTGTCCATTTCGCCCCTTGCTGTTATCAAAGAGTATATAACATTCTTAATATATCAAACAACATATTATAATAAATTTATGATATTCTGAAAAATTTCATCTGATTTTCATTTGAAATTAATAAAGTCACTAGTAACGGTATCTGTTGGCTAAGTATGAATGCGTAATAAGATTCTAAGAATGTGGTAAACGGATGCACTAGAGTTTGGGGCATTTATGGTAAATCATAGTGTAAATACTCGATACTTGCTGCCTATAATCTTCTGTGATAAAAGCAGAGAACAACGTAATTAAATGGAGAAAAAAAATGTGCCTGTGCTCTTTCAAACACCCCCAAAGGACAATTACATGTAGGTTAAAGTTCTAAGTCTGAAAAAATAGGGAGACAGGATACATTTGCGGTAAAGACATGTTGAAGTACAACCATTTCAGCTAACCTGAGTTTGCGGATGACAGTCCCTAGAGTCAGTAAACTACGGTTTATGTGACATCCCTCCTTCAACCTTGTACCAGCTGAATTAGTTTGTGATGCTCGCTCACTTCCAGCAAGATCAACAAAATTCTGTATCCAGGAAGTTAATATTATCTTTTTGATTTCCAATTGCGGTACTTAAACGTAATAAAGTGTTTCTCATTATTTTCCTTTAATAGGTATGAATCAGTCATACCACAGAAGCAGAAAGAGAGCTCAATTTGTCATTTGCCACAAATTCACTTGCAGAACTGTCAATAGTCTGAAAAGCAACATTATTTAGGCAATGTAAGCAATGAGGCAATGGAAGATTTCACTTCCCTTCAACAAACATAGGAACCCACATACCAGTCTTAGAATTTGATGTGATCTGGAGCTGACTTCATTCAAAGATGTCTCTCCTATCTGACGTTGTGCTGAAAAAAATTGTTGGTTAAGTATATGCAGTCAGGTCTAGCTGGCCAAAGGATTCTAACGAAGAAAAAACACAAAACATATAAAGAAGACAATCTGAAAAAACTTCGTTGAAGCAAGAACAATCATAACTATCTGTAGTCCTTACTTTCACAGAAAGAAATAAGTTCGGTAAAATAGTTCCAGTCACGCAAAGTTGCCTCAGTGAGTTTCTCAACAACTGTGCCTTTCTGTTTAAAAGACAAACTGTCAGAAAATTTTCGTAGACGTCATAATGTTTAGAAAATTGGTAAAGATATTTATTTACCTCTGGATCATCAAGAAGTCTGAGAGGTGTGGTGTCGGTACTAAGGAGGTCCCTGACAGATTCATTGTAGATCTCCATTGCTGAAAACTTCAAAACAAATTCCCTTTCTTTGTGCTATAAAAAGAATCTAATCAAAACAAGGTTTTCAAAATGACAAGATGATGTAGCAATGTGTTCAATTTCATATACCTTTTCTATGTGATTAAAAATGTCAGTTATAGCATACTGAGTTATACCACTCATGGTATATGTCTTTCCACTGCTTGTTTGTCCATATGCAAAAATGCTAGCTGATCAAATAGATAACCAAACACCCAATAAGTGGATAGGGAAAGATGTTAATGTAGAAGTTCATGGACAGGGAAGAAAGGAAAACTCACAGTTGATTCCATTGAGAACAGATAGAGCTACCTCCTTAGATGCTTCTTCATACACCTGCCTTGTGGGGCAATCAGTCCTAAAAACTCGGTCTACAGTGAAAAGAAATGAAGGTGGATCAAAAGTGGAAGCAAATAGAGTATTTAAATTTTTTAGATATGATGAAATACAAGCCAGATATGGTGTTGTTAAAGTTGCTTAACCAAAACAACATTAACCAAGATTATAACATTACTCAATTTCCTTCAATGCAGAAAATCTTAACTACATAATATACAAGATTGAACAAAGAAACAGGCGAGATTTTAAAACCATGTCTGAAGTTTACAACATTCCAGGAACTTATGGAATCAACATCCATTATGATTTATGGTGATTGCCAATTTGCCACTGTATTCTCCAAGGTTAATTCAGTTCAGCCGAATCTTATAAATAAAAAAACCATTCAAACAAATGAAAGCATACACGATCCAAGCAGCAATGTAAATGTTAAATAAATTAAATACAGTGTGTTTTTCATGAACTTATTACTAAATGAAAAAATTGATGATTTTCAGTCAAAAGCCATCAGAATTTGGAATTTCGGATCTATCATAACCTTTCATGCAAACACCAAGTAAATAAATCTATTTACAGATTTGTAAGATAAGTCTCTTCATACCAAATGTATAAGTTGTTGGATACAGAGACCTTTCAGAAGAGGAAAGGTTGCTCCTGTACATGATGGTAGTATCATTAATGCATTCCCATTCAGACAGATCATTTTTTGCCAGCTCCTTATCATTCAACGGTCGCACGCGAACAGAAACAAGAATTCTCTCCTCATTTCCCGTAGAGCCTGTAGAGCCTGGTGTCGTTGCTTCCTCCCCTGAATTAGAACCCATTTTTCTCTCTTCCTTCTCCCCTTTCCTCAAAACCTTCAATTCCAACTACACCTTATTACATTCCAAGTTGTATCAGAAAGCTTGTACTATTATTTTGTTAGGACATGGGATGGCATGGAGCAAACGGGCCACCGCAACTTTCAAGCCCCAATCATTATCTGCAGCGACAAGATCATCCAAGGTTACCTTCCCATAAACAAACAAATAAAACAAAATAGTGATAACATTCATGCAATTTTTTATTCAGAGAAGGAAACAAATAGAAATTGACCAACATCACAAACTCTTTTAATATAACTTTGATGTCAAAATGCGGTGCATTATATATTCTATTGGAAAATTTGGAGTTTTCTGAGATAGTTCCCAAGACAAGAAAACACGCTGTCAAATTCTCCCTCACATGGAACATAATTAAAATTATAATCTGTACAAAAAAAAATTACCAACACATGAGAAAATCTGGGGATTCAATTTTTTAAACAAGATTCTAAACAACTAATCTGCGCTGAGAAATTCAGAAATAAAACAAACCGATTATCAAAAGAAGAAAAATCTGAATGAATGTAATAATACCACTAAATCCTATCTGTATCTTTTATTATTTTTGGAGCAATTTCAGTTCAACTAAATTTAGCAAGTCAAACATAATCCAAACAAATCTTGAGCAAAATTCCAAAAATAGAACACGAATCAGACAGTAAGAATAAATCCAAAAAACAAGTCAAAATCGCTAAGTTTCTTATCATGATAGTAAATTTTTCCGTGTTTAGAAAGAAACCGTTAAAATCAAAACCGAAGGTCACAATTCACAAATTCAAATCCGAACTTCAGTTATTACTATCGATCAAACACACATGAAATTATCGCATTTTCATCTAATGCAAAAAAAATGTAGATCAAATTTTAGCTATCTTTAATAATAAAAAATAAATATTCAATAATTAATTAATGATAATATAATTATAACCTTAACTAAAGAGTAATTCAGCAAGTTCTGGTGCTCGATTCCGTGCTCGAAACCAGAATCTGAAAATTCGAAACGATACAAATTATGTAAAAAAAAGGAAACATATATGAGAATTCCGTTGTTGGAATGCGATCTGAAAAGGAGACTGAGAGCAATGCGAGAAGACGAAACGGATTGAGAATTGAAAACGGTTGAGAAAAATGCAGTTGGAAAGTGAGAATGAAAAATGAGAGAAAGAGAATGTGTTTGTGGTGGAAATGCGTGTGCGTTGATTTTGAAAATGTGAAGAGAGTTATGGCGTCTCCTTCTTAGTTTGTTAGTTGCAGTCCATTAGACATTTTCAGCTTTTTCTTTTTTATTATTTTTTTTATATTTTATTTTCAAATAAACAAAAGTTAACTACCGCGCTAAAGAAACTATCATTCATTCCGTCATTAATTAATCACTGTCACTCAGCAGGTAGAGATTACTGCAAAGCTACCCCACTGTGTATAATTTAGAAGTTTCTCTTAAATGCATTTTTTATCCTTTTATTTTCACCAAAGCTAATTTTTATTTAATCATTTTTAAAGTTGAATCTTTTCTTTTCTCTTTTTCTCTTTCTTCAATGATACTAACTTTCAAAATTGAACATAACTAAAATTATTAATTTAGTTGTATATCTGTTCAGAATTTTAAACCGAACAAGAGAATCTTTCCCAAGCTAAATCATCTGTTCAAAAATACAATTGTTATACTTTTTTTAAAACTTATATTAAAAAGTTTTAAACTTGCTTTTAGTATTTTTTTTCTTCTGTATTGATTCGATTCGGTTTCAGTTTTGATGTGGTTTATTTGTTATTTGATTTAATTCTAAAAACATTCGTGTAATATGTTTCGGTTCACTAACCAAACATAACAGTTCGGTTATTTTAATTTCAATTTAATTCGATTTGGTTCAACAATTTTTTAAATAATCATAATTTTGCCTTTTTAGAATCAAACTTTTAGCGCTTAAGTATGAAATCTTATACCTTTTTCAAAATATAAATATTTAAGGAAGGATTGTAAAAATCGTAGGATTTTGGTTGAAAGAATTTTAAAAGATTTATTTAAAAGAAATGTTTGTTTTTGAAAATAATAATGCGAAGTAGTATACCGCCATGAATTTTTGTTACATGTGATTTAAAACATCAACAAAGTGGTAGAGTAACACTCTTTTCCCTATTGAGATAGGAGTTTCTAACAAGGTGCTTTATTAACTAAATTCTCCTTTTCTATATTACTACTAAGAATTACGCATAAAATTTTATTTCAAGTATCATTACACTCTCTAGGGTATTGTTGCATCCTCTAAGGGTATTGTTGCACCCTCTAGAATATCGTTCCACCCTCTAGAATATCATTCCGCCCTTTATAGTATCATTGCACCCTCTAGGATATCATTACATCCTACGGGGTATCATTGCACCCTTCGATGAGTTTCTAACAAGCTGCCTTATTTATTAAATTCTCTTTTTCTACACTACTACTAAGAATTACACATAATATTATTACACCCTCAAGGGTATCATTACACTCTCTAGGATATTGTAGCACCCTCTAAGGGTATCGTTGCATCCTTCGGGGTATCGTTGCACCATTTGGAATATCATTTTGCCCTTTATGGTATCATTGCACCCTCTATGGGGTATTATTGCACCCTTTGTGGTATCACTGCACTCTATTAATTGATTAAGGGCTTCCCCCAATAGATTAAATCAAAGTGTAATGTCTATTAATCGATTAAAATAGTTGTTAATCAATTAGGTGACATCGAACTCAATCTTTCCTTATTAGGTGACATTAAAATAGTTGTTAATCGATTGGGTGACATCGATTAGTGCCGAAAGAGTTAAAAAGTTCCCTCTTAAAGTTGTGTTGTACCATTGTTGTGCTAAATTTGTTTTATTTAAGAGTGTGATTCTCTTGTATAATATCTTTGTAAAGAATTTAAAGGTTACAAGGTAAACCTAAAAAAAGACTTGGCTGAAGGTTCTTGAGCTCCTGTGAACATCTCTTGGGTCAAGTGTATGACCTTGACGGTCTCCTCATTGAACTGGGTGAGTATTCTCACAAGGATTTTGAAAGGTTTAGGCAAAAGTTAAACAGGCTAGTGGTTGACATCCTTTTGTGCCTTCTCGTTGAAAATTAATGGACCAACTTTTTATTAGGTCCTGGTAGCCGATGACTGAGGGTCTTGGCAGGCTCATGTATTTAACGCTTCGTCCCGGATGGTAATGTAGATGATCTTGCATTTCAAGGAATCAAAGGCTTCAATAATCATCATTTATGTGTTAATGGAGACGACATGATCTTGGGAGGTCGCTTCTTCCATCAAATTATGAAAGTGATGGCATTTTGAAACTTTCTGATATGGGGGCTTACCATATTCTGTCTAAGAGAGATTAGGGGTTTAGAACCATTGTCTCCTTATTGGGGTTGGCCTTCTGTTGGTGTTGTTGAAGGTTAAGGATGTTGTCCTCCAAGGTTTGATTATGGTGATGTAGGTCATCCATAGAGACACACATATTCTCTATGGCATCCTAGTCGGCGACTGAGGTTGTTACTCACATGTTCACCATATTCAAGGGGGGTGAAGAGGTAAACATCAAGTTAATCGTTGGAAAAAGGTGGCACGTGTCAGTTTTACTAAGACCTTGTAGTTGACGCCAATTGTACTTGCTAAAAACGTATAATAAGAGTAGTTCTGTATTTGGATGGTTATATGTGATGTTTAGGGTTGTTGGTCGTGCTTAAAGCTAGCGCACACAGTGGTAAGAAGCTTTGTATATGTGATTTCTATGTGAATAATCATCATATTTCAATCAAATGACAGGGGTATTTATAGAGGCTCCCTAGTCCTGGATCAGAGAATGCTTACCTCCGCTCCCCTCAGAAACGTGAAGAGTAAGAGAGTTATTCTTCCTTGGATAATGGAGGTGACAATTATCCTCATTAACCTTTTTTTCCAATATGTTAGGATGAGACACATCATCTCCCACATTCCTTGGGTAGTGAAAGTGAGTTTATACGGACTAAAGTCAACTGACATGCGACTACTAAAATCCAGACGACTTTATGGTCCATTTTGGATGGCCTATGGCTTCATAAGGAAACTCGAACCTTACTTGCGTGTTTTGTCTTCCTTACGTGGGTTTTTCCTTCTTATTGCCCAATATAATTATAACAATACAAATTTGTTTTAAGTTACTTATGTTAGAATTAAATCAATAATAATTAATATATACATGTTTTACATATTATTCAATATATTTTAGTGCGGAACAGAATAGATAATACAAACATATATATAATTACAAGATCTACCACGTGTTAATATATGAGAGAAGAGATTACATGAATACATGTATCTATTGAGAAAGTTTTTGTTGGTGGTAATCCTGAAAGTTATAAGACAAACAAGGAACACTTGATCACATGTATGGTTCTTCTTCAACCATTACTCTTAATACCTTGAATACTCTTCAGATGGAGAGAAGAGATAAAATGTTTGTGTTCGGTATATTGAAAACCATAATCTATATATAGAGTGATAGTCAATTAGGGTCTCATTATTCTAAAATGAATCATTCTGATTTCACTCATATTATATTATAATAATTATGTGGCCAAATTTATTTATTTAATTATATTAGTTATTTTATCAATTAAGTGCCTTAAATAATTATGTGATCAAATAAAATAAAATATTTATTAAATTTTATTTAGAAATTATTTTATTTATTAATTAATTAAATAATTTTTAAATCAAATCTAATAAACTTTTCTATTTTATTTGGTCACTTAATTATTTAAGATACTTAATTGATAAAATAGTTAATATAATTAAATAAATATATTTGATTACATGATTATTAAAATAATAATAACTAAATAATATTTGATTATAAAATATTCCAACAACTTAAAATTTATTAAGTACTAATCTATGCAATTTCAAATCTATTATTTTTCAGTTAAGCTTGTTCTTAATACTGTTATGTATCGACTAATGTGTAAATTGATTTTAAGTGTCTATAGATTATTTACAATAACTATTTTCTATCTAATTTAACCGTAAAACCGATAATAACTCTATACATATTATATGCTTGTGATATTAGAAAGGTTAAATTATAATTTTTGTCTTTTAATTTGTTTGATTTATAAAATTAATTTTTTTATTTTAAATTTAAATAATTTTGTTCTTTTTATTTTAAATTTAAATAATATTAGTCTTTTTATTTTAAATTCAAACAATTTTAATCCTTCTCGTATATTTTTTCATAAAAAATCAATGAGATATTTATTTTTTAATTTATATTTATATTTACAAATTTCAATAATAAATTTATATATGATAGTTTGTCATATTTTATAAATAATTTATCATTTAAAAATTGAAAACATTGATAATTTTAAGTATAAAAATAAGAGAAGTAAACCAAAATTATTTAAATCTAAAATAGAGAATTAAAACTATTTAAATTTAAAATAGAAGGATTAATTTCATAAATTAAAGAAAATAAATAGATCAAAATTATAATTAAACCTATTAAAAATAATCTTCTTTAAAACGTTATTTTCTGAAGACATTAAGATGTTATAATTAAAGGAGATAGTTGTGAGTTAAAACTTTGATCCTTAACTAATTTGTTAATGCTTTGTGATACTAGAGAAATAATTGTAGTAATTAGACACAATTAATAAACAATAAAAATATAAATTTTAAAAATTTTAATCATATTTAATCTATGATCCCCTTTACATTTTTATTTATTTTCATCATCAATAATTTCTTATGAAAATATCACATGTTTTAAATATAATTACGATTATTAAGTTGTTTAATTAATCACCATCTTTATAAATATAAATTTATAAATTTTACTATTTGACGATAATTTGATATATTTTTTACTTAGTCTCAAATTATAAGAGATGAAAAAATTAGACCGTAAGTAATTTAAAGGGTCAAATGCTATTTTGACAAGATAAATTTATAAATTAGTTGGAGAAAATAAAAACAAGTTTTTCCCCTCTTACCAAATAGAAACTAGCCGTCCAAAGTATAGCTTGTATACGACTGCCTTTTGCATTAAATATTATTATTTATATATATTATTTCTATATTTAAGATATTTTATTGCATTGATTTCAAAAATTTAATTATATCAATTAATTTTGATAAATATTTTTTTCCGTAATTTATATATACATATATTTTTTTTATTTAAGATATTTTATTGCATTGATGTAATTAACTAGTTTTTTCTTAAAAAGAAACCCTTAAAAGTAATATTATT